ATTTTTTTTATTTGGCTTCATTTTGCTTTTAGATGGCTTTTTTTTTGTAAAAAGTTTCCACAAATACATGCTGCAATAGGCATAAATTTTACCTGATTATATACAGTACTATAACATTTAAAGTAGACTGTATAAATATGCACACTTTCAAATAAAATGACCATGGACAACAATACCAATTTTAAGCTTACATTATTTTGACAATGATCAGTGGTGGAAAGAGTACTGAAAAGTGATAAGTAAAAGTACCATTTCTTGTCTAAAAATGAAGTGCTTTTTGTATCCGAGCAGATTTTAAGAGCAGATTTGCGGATCCACATGCAGTTTATTAATCAAGGTCGTACAGGTAAGGGTCATAAACAGGAGCAAAACAGCAACATAAGGGTTAGCCAATAATCGTGATCAATAAACCAGTGGCAGGTCAGACTAGGCAGTAATGGGTCAAGACAAGAAACAAGGCAAGAATCAAAACATGGGAAAATCAAACAAGGAAACCACTTCATAATGCTCAGTAGTGAAACAAGACTCTGCCATGTGTGAATGAAGGTAAGGTGTATTTATAGTCCTTGTAATCAGTGTAGATGAGCAGCAGCTGTGTATGTGTGTGAGTGTCTGGATTATTGTCAGCTGCAGTAGGAGTTGATGAAAGCAGGGAGTTCTGGGAGTTGTAGTGCGTTCAGCAGTAATCTCCAATAGAGAAAACCCCACTGGCGATTGCAACAAACTACAGGATCTAATCACCAACGGAGACAACACCAATCACAACACAAGTAGAGTAAAAGTATCTGTTGTAAATAGGGATGTAACGGTATTGTAAATACCGTCATACCGCAATATTAAATTTTTTCGATATTACCGAAGTCGCATGACTCGGTAAAACTATAGGTCTTCTGAGAAAATTTGCTCAGGCGAATGAAGCGAACGGGAGGTAGCTGAAACTTCATTTCCCATCAGCCCCGGCGTGGCCATAATCCTTTGCGGTCTGTTGTCGCTACAGATCCAGTAATGCGGAAATGGAGTATGCTGCTAGTAGCGGAGATGAAAAAAAGATGGAAATGATCGAACCTAAAGCGGGTGTTGTCGCCGCGCGCGTGCTGAATAGCGGTGCTGTTGCGCGCGTTCTGATCAGCTGTGTTGTGGCGCGCGTATTGTAAAGCGCCGAGGGGGGGTTGAGCGCGCATACTCAAGAGAGGTGTTGTCGCGCGCCTACTGAAGGACTGGACTGGACGGAGGTTGTGTCGCGTCGCGGGGGCACTTTTGATCGTTTTGGAAGGGCATTTTCTATCCAAGACTAAAAAGGGCATGTGCACTGCACAGGTTGAGCCCTATGTGTGCACGTGCCTGCAAGTTGGGGAATACGACTAATAATCAGTCATGGGGACTGCAGAAACACAGCACACTGTTCAGATTGATGCAGACATTGACTTGTACCGCAAAGAGATCTCTATCTCACTCATGGTTTGTCTTCTCAAGTGGGGGAAAGACAATGCACAACGTTACCCACTGCTGTCAACATGGGCCAAGTCATATCTCTCTTGTCCCAGAAACCTCAGTCCCAAATGAGAGGGTTTTTTTCTGTTGCAGGGGACATTGTAAATACCCAGAGATACCAGCTTTTACCAGATTATAGTTATATGATAATTTTCCTTTAAACCCATCTCTATCTAAGTGAGTGATTAAATGTTAAATGTGATGAGTTTTCAACAATACTAAATTGAAACTTTATTTTTTTACATGGTTTAATAATTTTTTGTTATTAAAATTGAAGTTCCTGTTTCAAAGCTAACAGATAGATGGCTAATTTGTATGTCACTGACACTTTTGGCACTTTTTTGGAGTATTTTCAAAAGTTTTTTTTTTTCCTGTAAATGATTCAATAAATACCGTACCGTGACATTCATACCGAGGTATTACCGTACCGTGAAATTCTGATACCGTTACATCCCTAGTTGTAAATATATTTTAAGTAGGAGTAAAAAGTAGCCATTTTAAAAGAACTCAAAAGTAGTAAGTATCACGCTGTAAGAAGCTGATGCATTTACATGTAATTTGTGGATGTGTGTAAATGTAACATTCTGTAGTGCATTTAGTTATTACCCAGCAGGCACACAACGTCATAAGATGTTAAAATTATGTTAGATTTACATTGTAAAGTCAGATGACCAAAATTCATTGACTAGTCTGCGTCTAAAAAGACAACATTATTTAGATGTCTAATAACGATGTCAAATGATGTTGATATTTGGTTGATTTTAGGTTGTGTTATAAAGTGAGCAAAATCTAACATCTTAAACCAGTGTCATACTGATGTCAAATACTGACATTTATGCATCAGATATGGCAACCAAAATCCAATATCCGATAGACGTCATAGTGGTAATGTCCACAAAACATCAAACTGTAACATCATTAGATGCTGATATTTGGTTGATTTTAGTTTGAATGTTGGGTTCTGAAGTCAACATGATTTTTTATTTCCAAACCAAACGTAACATCTCCAAGATGTTTGGGGTACATTGTCAATCTGACTTCATGTGCCAGCTAGGTGTTAAAGGCCATTTCTGTCATCATACAGTAAACATCAGTTACTTCTCTTTAATGACATGCATCTAAATGCATCTTCTTGGACATTTTAATTGCTTTCAAACAGTTTGCTGCATTTATAAAGCGCTCATGTCTTGAGGTTATTCATTATGATGCAAATTACTTTCTATGTGTGATTTAACTGGACAGGAATTGCAGGACTGATTTTTCTAATTCCCATAGACAAGAGAAAATAAAGTAGTGGCTGCAGGTTGAAGGAAAGTAATGCAGTAAAAGTACCAATACAGCACTAAATGCACTCAAGATAAAGTACACATTTTTTAAAACAACTTAGCAAATTACAATTTCTGAGAAAAAATACTCAATTACAGTAATTTGAGTATTTGTAATTTGTTACTTCACACTATGTCAGTGATATATACTGTAATCAATGTCAGGCCTATACATCATCTGAAACTGGGGGAATCTGAGGATCTAGAATCTGAGGTTTCAAAACTAAAGCTAAATCGTCTTAAAGCTATCTAAATGAAGTGCTTGGCAATTGCATATTACTAATCAAAAATTTATGTATATAAATTTATAGTTTTTATAGTTATTTATAGTTTTTACATATTTGATAGTGGTGTAAAGTAACAAATTACAAATACTCTAATTACTCTAATTGAGTGTTTTTCTTTCTTAGGAATTTGTCCCTTTAGAATTGCAGTTTTATCTGACATTTTTGTCAAAATTGAGTTGTTAACATATTCTTATTTAATCACAACTTATTTACATTATAGGATTTTAAAGGCTTTTTTATTTAAAAAGGTAATGATTTGCACTCATCAAGTAATTGCTTCGTACTGTTTTTATTTTTACATTCTTCGGGTGATACAAAAACAAAAACGCTTTGGCACAATGCTTTCCTCAGTGTGTGGCAAAGGTATAGTACTAAGTAATTACTTGATGAGTGTGAATCATTACCTTTTTGAACATTGGTATTGACAAGATTAATGCACCAAAAAAGTTTCTTTAAAAACCGTGAGCACGCTGGGCAAATTTCATTACCCTAAGACTTTTTATTGAAAAAAAAACAAGTGTTACACACATACTGTTTGCTATGGAATGCAAAAGCTCAATATCTCAAAATCATCCAGAATGCAAATTGAACCTTATAATTCCAAGGGAACAAATTGTAATTTACTAAGTAATTAAAAAAATGTGCACTTTTACTTTCACCTAAGTATATTTTAGTGCTGCATTGGTATTTTTACTCCACTATTTTCCTTTAACCTGCAGTCACTACTTTATTTTTCCTCGTCTATGGGGATTAGCTAAAGTATAAAAAAAAAAATCAGTCCTATGATCTTGTCCAATCACATCGCACATAGAAAGTAAATCACATCACACTGAAAAACCTTAAGACATGTGCATTTTATAAATGCAGCTAACCATTTGGAAGCATTAAAAGTGTTCAAAAAGTTGCCCAAAATCTTTACACGCATTGACCCAGAGACTGTTTAGATGCATGTCACTGATGAGAAGATGACGGTTGTCTGCTGCAGGATGACTGTAATGGCCTTAAACCAAAACTAAATGCATGCAAATGCTACAACACTACAATCTTTCACAGTGTAATACTCCCTACTTTTGAGTACTTTAAAAAGGCTTCTTTTTACTGATACTTCGGTTAATATTTAGAAAAGAAACTTTTACTCTACTTGCACTACATTTCTGGGCAAGTAATGGTGGTTTTTATACCTTTTTCTGTACTCTTTCCACTGCTGTTTGATACATGATCTTTAACTTTACTTAATAGTATAATGATTTTTGGCATAAAATAATCTATAATTTTGTATGTCTACTATATGACAACAATCTGTAGGCATTTGCTGTAAGTGTTCAGGATAAAACTTATAAAAAGATAAAAAAAATTATAAGCTGAAATTAAAATGACAATATTACTGTAAACATCAATCTTTTAAAAAAATTTTTTAAATCAATGTTTAAAATCTCTGACTTCATTAGCCCTTTTTGACAGGTAGTGTCTCAAATAACAAAAGGCCCAAACATTGTAAAGGTTCTTCAATGCAGAGTGAAGTATCGTGTGACAATAACAGATGCAATTCAAATCCTTTAATAGTGAAAGCAGCTGACGGACTTAGGAAAGATATGATTTAATTAGATGCAAAGGTCACGCTGCAAAAATATACAACCATCCTGAAAAGGACAGCTATAAAACATCGAAACTTTATTTTAGAAATCAACCAGAATCAATGTGAGATGATAAACATATTTGTAGTAAACATTTTAAAGGTCTGCCACAATATTGAATTTGCCCTCGTGGTATTCAGTGACCTAATAAATTGGATTATGGGAATTAATAAAATTGCTTTACTATAAAAAGCATTATTTTACAGTGCCTGCAATTGTTTTATTTGCTTTTTTCTTGTGTTCCCACTGTCATTGTTTTGCAGGGAACATATTTGTGGTGAGTCTGGCCGTAGCTGACCTTGTTGTGGCCATCTATCCTTATCCTCTCGTCCTGGTCTCCATTATCCACAATGGATGGAATCTGGGATTTGTCCACTGCCAGATCAGTGGATTCCTGATGGGACTGAGCGTGATTGGATCTATATTTAACATCACGGGCATCGCCATCAACCGCTACTGCTACATCTGTCACAGCCTCAAGTATGACAAGCTATACAGTGACAAGAACTCTCTTTGCTACGTCCTTCTTATCTGGATTCTGACCGTGGTTGCAATAGTGCCAAACTTTTACGTGGGCTCCCTGCAGTACGACCCCAGGGTCTACTCATGTACGTTTGCGCAGTCGGCCAGCTCGGCGTACACGATTGCAGTGGTTTTCTTCCATTTCATCCTTCCAATCATGATTGTGACGTACTGCTACTTGCGCATTTGGATCTTGGTGATCCAAGTGAGGAGACGCGTCAAGCCTGAATTCCGGCCTAAGCTTACGCCGCATGACATAAGGAACTTTGTCACCATGTTTGTGGTGTTTGTCCTTTTCGCTGTATGCTGGGCTCCTCTCAATTTCATCGGCCTGGCAGTCGCTATTAACCCAGACCAGGTTGCGCCTCTTATCCCGGAGTGGTTTTTTGTATCCAGTTATTTTATGGCCTATTTCAACAGCTGCCTTAATGCCATAGTCTACGGACTGCTGAACCAGAACTTCAGAAGAGAGTACAAGAAAATTATCATCTCCCTCTGCACTGCGAGGATGTTCTTCCCTGAGAGCTCAAATGACGCTGTAGAACGAATCAAAAGCAAGCCATCCCCTTTAATGACAAACAACAACCAAGTCAAAGTAGATTCGGTATGAAATCACGCAAAAGGACACTGTGAATCCAAAACCAAATCAACATTTCAGCTGCTTCCAGAATGAACTATTTATAAACAATATTTATAATCTGAATACAGGTGTATGTATTTCTTGTACCTGTTGCTTTTACAAGAAGGTGCATTTCAAATGTCTTGCTTCGTCTCAGAGTTTACAAGTTCATAACATTAGGCCTTTTTGTTTTTTATACAGCACAATAGGTCAGAGCATCGTTATATACAGTACAATTTTTTCAGGACATCATTAATGCTACAAAACCAATGCACATACTGTTGTATATGAAGGTGCCAAGTGAGACGGTTGATAGTTCTTAATCCTCATAAGTGCTTGACCTTGACTACATTTACTTTACATGAGCAAAAATAATGAAATGATTTCTGATCATCAGAGAAAGGACATAATTGCATAATAGGCTTTTTGCATGACAAAAGCAAACCTCTTTACTTTTATATTACAGGCAGTTGATATTATTATAATTATTCATTAAGAAGTGTGTTTTTGTACCAACAAACTGTATTATTATTCAGAAACTGTGCTGCAGAAATGATGAAATTAGCAACAAATTCTCATTGGAAATATGTGCCTCAGCTCATATTTTTGTGAGGCCCAAAAAAAGTACTTTGACTGCAGGTTCTATTTAAAACGAGGTGTAACAATGGGGTGTAACAACAACAATCGGTTTTCTGGTCAATTCACTTAGTAGCTCATTATGCAAGGTGTTGTACTCATGAGAAAAAGTGCTCGGGTTTGAGTATGGTCAAAATCAAGGTAATAGTGTGTGGTTGCAGAGCAATTGTTTTTCTTACATTCACTTTTGAAAACACTTTGTTGCGTTTGGGGAAGGGTTTGGGTCAGGTGATCTTCTCTGCCTTCTTGAGGAAGTGTATCAGGAAGTACATGTATCTGAAATGTACAACAAAACGTACCATAAGAAATGTATTTCAGATTAGCAAAAATGTAATCAGTGCCATCTGTAAAATGCAACCAAACATACCCAGAGCACTGAATTTATGTTGCAAAAAAATGTAGGCTGAGGCATGTATTTGCAATGAGACTGGGCTGGATTTTAGATGTGTTACATCTACATATATGGCTTTGTGATGGACATGTAACTGGTTTTGTTTATGTTGAACTGCTCTCTGTGCACTGATGATGTAGCACAAACACTTTTTGCAATGAGTTGTGGTCACAGATTTTTTTTGCCAACTAAGGGTAATAATGTGAAATAGGTGTTTACCTGCTTTGTTTACAAAATTGTTTACAGTTTAATGTAATTATGGTTACCACTATAATGATTTAAATTAGGGGTGGGCTGTATGATCTATATTTAAATAGATAGTTATTCCAGATATATTCATTATTTCATTGAAGGGCACTAGGGATCAACGGGAGGCTGTTTGGGAGCGTTTTATAAAGAAGAAGAATTTATTACAGCGAAAACTGAATTATGTATGATTTATGCCACACCAATCAAACCCTTTTTTATAAAATCTGGTCAATTTATGACATAACGCATGCTATTTGTGTATTTGACTTTCATTTTTTTAGTCTAAAGTTTACAGCACCCCATGTGAGTCAGTCATGCTAACGGATGGGCATTAGGACCTGGATGAACAAGTAATTTACCGAGGGATATTATTGTACACAGAATTGTCCTGTATTCACATTCCCATTTCCAAGTCAGTAATGCAAAACTGACTTTAAACTAACTCAGGCAAAAGTTCACCTCAGATTGCGGACCTTATTCAGACTCACAGACACTACATGTGGGTTAGCCACGCCCACTTATTTAAATGTCAATGCACAGAGAATGGGAATCTACGCCACAGTGAGTTCTGTTCTGCTATTGTTGTGGACACGCAAGAAAGCACAATATAAACCAATGGAAATCACCACAGAAAAAGCTGACCATTTTAATACCTTTAGAAAAACATACTAAATACACTCAGAATAAAATTAACAAACATGTAAATAACTTTATAAAAGCTATCTGTGTGTCTGAGAAGCTGAAAACAAACATTCCATAAGATTTCTGTATCCAACACTGAAGTGGAATTAGAGAAGTGGAGCAAAAACGTAGAGGGAGCGGTTAAAAAATGAACTAGTTTATCTGTAAGTATCAACAAACTGCCACAAAAAAACATTTCCATAAATGATTTGCTTTGTTATGTGTACACTTATAGTTTATTGCTAATGAGTGAATGATACAATAAATCAAAAGAGATTAATGGGAATCAATGCCCAGAATGTATTGCACAAATGTATTGTGTCAACTTATTCCCATTCTCTATGCATAATCATACTGCCCAGTCTTATTAAGAATAATCGTATTTGTTTGATAGTACTATTTACATGAAGTAACGTTTAACCACAAAATTGCCAAAATCCCTTATTCAACACAATGACCAACATCATAATGTTGCTGTAATCATCCCTGGAGGAAGATATGGAGAAGACTGCACAGTGAGTTGTCTTGACCGTTTAATAATTCCAAATGTCATGGATTTCATTCAAAATGGATTTGTTTATCACAATTAAAATCAGTATATGCCACATATTTCTATGAGATTAATCATATAAAGTAATTATAATGCAATTTTGGCAATATAGTGATCGCCCTGTATGCACAATACTTTAATCAACCTGATGCAATTATAAGCATAGATCACCCCAAAATTAAAATCTATTCACCATTTAGTCGCTTAAGTGATTTCAAACCTGTATAAGTTTGTTTCTTCTGTAAAACACAAAAGAATGTCAATGGCCACCTTTAAAATATTTGTTTGTGCTCAACAGAAAAAAAGAAAGTCATAAAGGCTTGGCACAGAGTAAACATGAATTTTTTTTTTTTTGGATGAATATCCCTTTAAGCTCATAATCTCAGTAACAATAATCACACTTAAATTTGTAGCTTATGCTGATTTTAATTTGACATAATGAGTAAACATGCATGTAAACACCTTAATTGTGTTATTACCACTCTGACCAAAGCGTCAAAGCTTGATTATGATTATGCATTTTGTTCTCGCAACTTCATGAATTAACTCTGTGACATTAATATGAACCTTTCCCTTCACTTCGAATCCTTTAATTCTCTCAACACAATATAATCTTCCAACACGCCCATAGAAACGTGTAGCCAGTAACCCAGAGTTCATCATTTGTGTAGAAAAGCTTTGTTCATACAGTGTTATGTAAACATTACTGCAATGACGTCCTTACTCTGATTATTGGGAATAATCACATTATGGGTGTACCTGTTAACATAAACAGTGTCATTTAAAGATCTTTATCATGTTGTTATTTTAGGTTGAATTATTTTCTAATGGTTTTTCTGGAGTGCATGCCAAATAATGTATTCGCAAAGTAATGTACTCGAGTATAGCAACAACATAACCTGGATTTAAACAGTCAGACGGACAGTGTAATACGAACAAAAGTGTATGTCCAATATTGGATGTTAAAAACAAATGAATTTCAGTTCCTTTAACTTATGATTCACAATATACTGTAAATGTGAGCATGCACTCAAAAGGATTAATTCATCACTGTTTACTTGCTCTCACACACTTCTGTGACTGTTTTGGTTGTAAAATCAAAGTTAGTGGTTTCCAAAACAAAACTGGATTGCATCGTCTGTGTATATATAACAATATATATTTAAATACATATATATATATGTTTTACAGAAGAAAGTCAGTCACACAGGTTTGGGATTACATGAGGGTGAGTAAATGACGACAGAATTTCTGTTAAGGGTGAACTTTCTGTTTAAGAGCTCACCGTAGCATCTGTATAATGTCGGGTTCCGACAACACACAGCCTTTTTGTTCTTTGTTATGATAGTCTCTGTGTGAGAATATGCGGTTTGGGCTCCTTAATTCATACCATTTCATGGACAAGAAGCATGTCAGAGTACTTGATTCTTCATGGTGCTGGCTCGGCTGCGATCCACTAGGAGATAAAATGATGGATTTTTGTGTCTGAATGCTCATTGCTGTGTATGAATCACCATGACACCGAAATCTGGCTGATATTGTTTAGTCTGAACCCGCCATTATGTGAATATCTTATGAAATGTGAGCAAAATGGTGCGTTCTAAAAATGCTATTTTAGACATTCATGTACCATAACAGGTTTTATGTATCCTAATTCATTTATCCACCAAACTGCATTGCTATACTATTGCAATGAAGTGCATTTAATTACAAGCAATATCTTCTCCATATTCGGGCATGGATCATGTTGTACCTCTATAAATCACATTTATACTATCATATCAATCTGCAAATGTTCAACACGGTACCTTCCTTAGTTTTTTACGATATTAAAGCAACAAAATGGAACATGTCTGCTTGTTTCTTCTTGAGTTTTCAATGTTAATAAACTGTGCTGAATAACTTGAGAAGAAAACCAGATGTACAAATGCTTAAATTGCAGACAAGAGGAGAAGGTTTCTAGTATTTTTTTACAATAAGGCACCGAGCACTGGAATGGAATTATCCCTATTGGAATTATTATTATAATTATTGTTCTTGTTCTTTAGAATAAATCATGATTTTGAGGGCATGCTGATACCTACAAAAAAGTCTCTTGGAGCAAAATCTAAAACTCAACAGGAAGATATTTTTAACTTTCTCTGTCGAAAAAGTGCAGATTTCGCCATTTCCATTTGCCATTTTGTATTTTATCAAACTCCTCCTAGGTATTTTATCAAATCAACACTTAAATCTGGTATTGTCATCAAAAGGCCTTGGCAATGATCTAGAGTTTGCATCGAAGGGTGTGTCCATGCAGCCTCGCAAACTTTGATGTTTTGCCATGAAACAGGAAGATGTTAGAACTCAGGCATACATTGTCTGATCTGCTTCAAAATCCTCACGTTTGATAAGAGTCCTGACCTGAACATGTTTACAAGCCAATATCCAATTACAATCATAGTGCCACCTATGGCCACAAAAAATCAGACGTTTTACAGTGAAACAAACAACTCCTAGAAATTTTATTAGACGGAATCCAAGTTCCATCAGTCTAATCCAAAAGCCTTTGTTACATTAAATTGTGAAGATCTAGAGTTCCGTTGAAGGGCTTATCCGTGGTGGACTGACAAAGTTTAGTATTTCGCCATGGAGGAAGAAGTACTTATTCAAGTCACACAATGTTGAAAAATTCCTGAAAATGCCTGAATGCCTGAAAATTCACGTTCAATGAGATTCCTCTCCTGAAGACATCTACATGGCAATATTTAGTCACAGTCATAGTGCTACCTGCTGACAGAAGGACGTTTGGCATAATTTATTGTCTTTTAATTGATTGAGACATGGATATTCAATAAAATAACTTTAAATATTGTTTAGTGATGTAGTGATCCTACCAACTTAAAAACAAATGTACTGAAAATGAACTCTATCTGCATTAGAGGTGTGAACCTATACTGGTCTCACAGTTCAGTTCGGTTTGGTTATGATTATCATGCCATCGATTCGGTTCAATTTGATATTACGGTGCATCACGGTGCATTAACGATGCTTTCCATACACAGTGTTGTATTTTTGGGGTGGCTATAACAAGCTGTCTGTATAAACACACACACACACACACACACACACACACACACACACACACACACACACACACACACACACACACACACACAAGGACACACAGCACCACACTGTCTCTCATTCACACACATACACAAACATAGACAGCACCAAACAAACACACACACACACACACACACACATACCATGAGCACTTGCTTGCTCGCTCGGGAGTGATATTGTGAGACTGCCCACTCCTGTTAAAATTACACTAGAGTTACGCCCCATTCACAGGTGGCTTAAGCATCAACACTTGTTACCAACCGCTCCCGCACTTTATTCTTAAATTTATTCTTGCGCCGCATATAATCTGGTCGGGTCCCGCGACAATGCACAGGTTCAGCCGCTGGAATGCATACAGCCGAGAGGAAAAGAGAGGGAAGGAAAATCCACGCCAGCAGTTCAGAGAAAAAGTCATGCCAGCAGGTGAAATGGGCCACAGTGAGAGAGAGAGAAATGGAGTTCACTTTCATTCCCTCAATCGCAAAGAAATAGGGGCTTCTGCTGGAAGTGTCAGTGAAAGACTGTCCAGAAATCACACACACGCAGTGAAATTGTGCACAGTTTCTGCGTTTTTAAGTAGTTGGCGCCTGGAGTGTTGTAAATACCCACGCTCACCTCCCTCTCGACAGAGTGCATTATTATTACTGATCCAATACCGAATTATCCGCTTCATCGCAGTGCACCACAGAAACAATTAATTTTGACACACTTAATCTTCATGTTTACTAGGAGCAAGTTCAAAATTAGAGTAAAAATCTCTAGCTAAATCCCTCAAAAAAATTTTATTTATTTTAAATAATGCCTAAGAATGAGTTATAGTTTTTTAGTGGGATTATCAAACGCAAAGATTGAAGAAACTTTGTGGCTTCCTCAACATATTCAAAGACAATTACCACTGGATGGATGTGTGCCATCATACTAATGGATTATCAGGATGTTGAGAGATTACACATTTTCACAAAAAGCTATTTCAGCGTTATCTTGACAAATCCCAGGAATAATAAAACCTCTGGGTTTTTGTTGGACTCTCTCCACGGACACAGAACAGCCATTCATTTCAGAACCAATCATACTGGTGGTCTTAATGCACACTGATACGCATCCTGTTTGCTGCTATTCATGCTGTCCAAATTCCAGTGCATCGCATAATACGCTTTGACAACTCACATCATACTTATCATGTACATTCGCATGCGTGATCTCGCCTGCCACAATGTGATTCATCCAGCATAGAATTTTGAGCCGAATCACACGGCGCTATTTAAAAAGCAAAACAGAAACTGTTTGCATTGACCTGCTTCCCGTGCCCACGGATGGTTATTTCTGGACATTAGACGAGAAGTGTCTTTAAAACTGTGAAAGCTTAAGTAATTATGCATGTCTTTGCACGAGCGTGATGAGGGATCGGCTTCCTTTGAGATCCCACACCCCCTCTTTTCCCCGGCGACTGAAATCCATGTCTTTTCCTCTTACCCTTCAGCTTAATGAACTTGAACAGATTAAATAAGATCTTAAAGGATGAGCCATTGAGTAGCCACCCCCATCTACTAAGAATTTATTTATATATATATATATATTTTTTTTTTTTTTGGATTACATTATGATGACATATTTTAATCTCAGGCTGATTTTCAAGAGGTGACGAGACAGTTTTCACCCTCATGTGTCAGTCAAAAGAAGCTTGATTATATCCTTTACACAATGTAAAGTTACCACTTCTGGTGAGATACAATTAATGGTCATTTTTACAACATATCTGACTAAAAAATCAATTAGTAGACACATTCATTCATTCATTTCCTTTATTAATCTGGGTGAAATGATCTGCCATCTTATTATAATGAACTTATCCAGCTCATGTGTTACACAGCGGATGCCTTTCCAGCTGCAACCCATCACTGGGAAACATCCATACACACTCATTCACACACATACACTATGGACAATTTAGTTTAGCCAATTCACCAATAGCACATGTCTTTGGACTTGTGGGAGAAACCGGAGCACCCAGGGGAAACCCATGCGATGGGTAGAACATGCAAACTCCACACACGTTATATTAAAGACACAGCAATAGCGTCAGATGCAGCAAATTGATTTTATGGCATCAGGTTAAGCTTTCTGACATCTTTACAGAACTTACGTACAGTAAATATAAATACAGGCCACAATTAAAC